GGGGGGGGGGGGGGGCGGGCAAGACAGAGAAGAACGGGCACCTCGCAGGCCTCACCCGGGCAGGCAAGGTACGTGCCGGGTGCAGCGATGCAGGCGAAACTCTCTGCCCATAAGGGGTCATGCATTCGTAGGGGTGCACCCATTCGGTTCATCGTCAGCGCCCCCCCCCCCCTGTACAATTCGGCGCCCCACCCCATCAATCAGGCACTGCCCATGCGCGCAGGCCCGCACAGCCGCACCTGCAGGCTGTATGTCAGCAGCCACCGCCCCACGGCACCGTCCCTGCGCACGATGTGCGGGGCGCATGAGATGGCCCATAATGGGGGTCCGATTGCATGACTGGCGGCCAGACAGAAAAGCGCTCCTCGTTCAACCGTGCCGAACGCCAAGGAGTGTCAATATACTTATGCGTCGGCCCCGCCGTCGCTCAGAAGCCGCAGCCGCACCGGTTGGCGCGCGGCTGGCGGCGCCGGCCGGACCGCCATCGCGTCCGCACCTGAGCACTGTGCCGGCCTCAAACGTGACCCGCGGGTGCCCTGCCTCAGCCAGGGCTCGCAGGTCAATGGGCTGGCGGCAGTACGAGCAGTCGGGGTACAGCTGGAGCCGATGCATGGATGGGTGGCGGATAAGGTGGTTGGCACGCGTTGGGGCATCCAGGTTGCACTGCCTTATCTATCCCGTACGCACAGCTGCACTAATCGCGCAAACGCACGTGCGGTGGGAAAGCGCCCGGTTCCTTGCGTCACCCCTGACCTTGGCTTTCGGCTTTCGCTGCTGACGCACCTGCTCTATCACAGGCCCGGGCCCGCCCGCCACGCCCTCCCAAACGCAGCCCTGCCGCTCCTCCCACACCAGTTGCATCGCCTCATCCCATGAAAACGCCCAGCAGCTGCCCAGAAGCTGCCCGGTGCCACAGCCGCCAGCCCGGTCGCCGGCGTCGCGGGTGGCGGCAGCAAGCCTGGATATGTAAGCGTCGATGCCGGCGGCGCCGACGACAGCAGCGCTGTCGCGGCGCGGCGCCATGCGTAATTTGATGGCGGCCGGGTCGATCGCAAATGCGGCTAGGTCCGAAGGCAGCTGCATGGAGGTTGCGAATGGGCGGCCGTGTCAGCAAGTGTGTGAAACCTTGCAAGCAAAAGTGGGTGCGCCGACGTCAACAATTCGTGTCAACAAGGTTGCCCGAGGCACTCTGGGTTCCTCTGCCTGCTACAGAGTTGTAATACAGAGTTGCAATCGGCGGGAACTGGGGAAGTAACTAACTGCGCACTGCTGAGGTGGCACACCTGGATGCGGTCCTCGTTGATGCTGCGGTTCACCTACAAAAAAAACATTGTAGAGCAATAATCGGACGTGCACGCCGCCCTCATTTGGCCGTAAGCAATGGTTGACCGATGTTTGACCGGCAGCGTCTGGGCAATCCCATCGCTCGCTGCGTGCAGTTTGTGCTGCGTGGAGCTCTGGCCGCCACCCAAGGACCTTACCACACTGGAGGCAGGGCCCACCCAATTGCCAAGGCATTGCATCCAACTGCGCCATCCGAACCGCTAACTCCTCAGGACAGGCGACGGCGTCGCACGCAGCAACAAATTGCCCCCCCTACCGCACCCCTGCTGCCACGCCCCGCGAGCGCGGCCTCAGGCGGTCCGCGTGGCAGGCGGCCGCGCGGGGGATTTGAGGCCGGGCGCGCTGGCGGGGCTCACCGCGAGGGCACCGTCTTCGTACCAATTCATTGTCGCCCAGCGCCACCCTGGGGCCCCAGGCTCCTGCGGGCGGCAGCGGAATCACAGCAGCGGCGGGGCCAAGTGCGGGGGTGGGGGTGCGGGTGGGGCCGGGCGCCAAGGAATGCAGCTAGCGCGCTTGCAGCAGCTTGCTGGTGATGGTTTTGATTGTTGCGTCAACCTGCGCGGCAATGAGCACAACCAGTTACCGCAGGTTGGCTGTGACCTGCAGGGTTCGCCTCTGAAAGGGCGTGAGCGTCAATCACGTGGCACCTTCACTTGCGCCCACCCTGCACCCCCACTCGCCACCCCTCGTTTGCAACGCCGCCCTCCCGCAGTCCCCCTAGCCGCCCTATCCCCTCGCCAGATCCCTGGCGCGCACTCAGGCCGGGCCTGCTGCAGTACTGTAGGCCAATGAACCCACGATCGGAGGTCGCTGTCGCCATTGCAGCTGCGGCTGGGCGCATCTGCTCGGCAACTCAGGAAAGGAGGGGCTGTGAAGCTCTCGTGCGCTAGCTTGGCACGCTCCTCCCCCATGTGTATGGCCCGTGCATGTGCACCCACCGCCAGGATGAACTCCAGCACCCAGATGTCACCTTTGCCGGCCTCAAACGCAGGCGGCAGGGCACCGTTGACGATCGCCGCGGCCGCGTGCGGCACGGTCAGCACGCGCATCGAGCGGTGGGGCGGAATCGGGGACGATCCGTCGACCCAGCTCTGGGCGCTTGCCTGTGAAAACGGAGGTGGGGCGATCAGCAGGCTGACGGGCGCGTGGGCAGCAGCGAGGCTGCGCACAAGCCAAGGGGGTGGTTGTCACAAGGAGGGGCATGGTCACATGCTGCGCCTGGAATCCATGATATGGTGGGGTATTGGCTCATGATGAGGGTTGATTTTGTACGCACGAGTCTCACCGATACGAGGTCGCTGTCGCGGTCGAAAGTCCTGGGAATGCATGGTAGCAGGGTGGGGTGGCACGGCAAATACGCTGAGCAGGGGCAAGGAGAGCAGGCAGGTCGCTCCGCAGTTAGTTGCTAAACCGGACACTGGGGCGCTGCGGGGCGCGCAGCGGCGAGCGGCCGGCGAGACGCCGCAGCTCCTACTTTGAAAAGCTCCCTCGCCTCTCAGAAATCACCAGGGTCGGCGTGAGCTGGCGCACAGAAGCTTCCCCGGGCCCCTGCCGGCCCTCACCACGAGCGCAGCCCATAGCCGTCCGGGCGGATGGATCCGGGCCTTGTGGCGTCTGCGCGCAGGTACGGCGCGAACCGGGTGCAGCCGCTGCCGGCCAACTTGGCGGGGGCCTGGTAGAGGTTGGACTGCTCCACGCGGCCGGACCCCAAGTCGCGCCAGAGCCTGCGCGCGGCACATACCCAGCAGGCTGCCCTCAGCACCGGTTGGGGCCTCAGGATTTGGACTGCTGTGGGCGCCATGACTCGCACCTCGCGCTTGATGTTAAATGCGCTCAGATGAGGCGGGCGCAAGGGACGCTCGGCAGAGGGGCGCCCGTGGCTCCTCATCAGGGAGTGGAAACACATACGTATGCGGGAAGAGGGGGGCGCACCCAGCAACTAGCCCCCAGCTTACCTCAGGTTGATGGCCTCGTCGACGAGCCGCAGCTCGGGCCCGCCACCTGCGGCCGCAGTGAAGGCGGCGGGGGAGCCGCGGGCGGCGGCTGCGTGGGGTGCGGTGACCTCCCAGGTCGTCCACTCACCAGCATAGCCTGTGCAGTGGCTGCGAGGAGTGGGGCAGGGGAAGGAAACGTTGGCTATGGGCGCTTCGGCATGGAATGGCGCACGCGGGGAGCGCGCGGGGGTGAGCGCTCGGAGCGGTGGCAGGCGTTGCGGGGGTGGAAACGAGGGGAGGCGCGAGAAGGAGTGCAGGTATGAGGCCAATTTGTTGCCAGCAGCCCTGAACAGAACACTAGTCCTACCCCATGCAAGGAGTGGTGCAGTCATCGGACTGCACAGGCCCCCTGGCAGCGCGCACTCGCTGTCGACGCCGCCCATCATAGTCAGCATGCCATCCATGAGGTCGTCGTTCGTGAGGCGTCGCGGCACGGCACGAGGCACGGGGGCCTGGGCGGCACCGGCGCCGACGGGGCCGTGCAGGGCGCGCGCCATCGGCGCGGCGGTCCAAGGTGCGCGCACGAGGGGGTCAAGGGGCGGGCGCTGCGCCTTGTGATGCTGGAATGTAGGCTGGAGGTTCTGCGGGTGTACAGGCGTTCGAAGCGATCGGGCTGGCTGGTTGGTCTTCATTGCCAGGTGGCTTGCATGACCTCGCGGCGACGAGCGTCGCAGCGATTGCAGCGGGCCAACGGCAAGGGCACTGCCCACCTCATCAAATCTTAGCGGCCTGCAATCGCGTGACAAGCGGGGGTGGGCGAACGAGGTCCTCCTTGACTGCCGACGACACCAAAATGCCAAAGTTGCTCCTTCTGCCAACGTCCACGCCGTTTGCGACGATGTATTGAGTTGTTGTTTCTGAAGTATATGATGCATGACATCTCCACATATCAGCAGCCAGTGACCCGACCTTCATCACACCAAGTGCCCAGCCTGGTACCGTATGGAGGAGGAGAACGCAAAACTGAGAGCAGAGGTTAAGGAGCTCAGAGCGCGACTCCGGGCGCTCGAAAAGCCTGCGATCAGCAACGGCGCCGGGGCGGCCAGCGATGTCCGCGACGCTGCCCCCGCCTCTGCTGCGGCCAGCGTAAACGGCGGCGGCGGCAGCTGCCCCGCCGCCGCCCCTGACTTTTTATCTCCCCACGGCCTCTCCAAGTCCCAGGCCGAGCGCTACAGCCGCCAGCTCGTCCTGCCCGCCTTCGGCGCCGCCGCGCAGGCGCGCCTCTGCGCGTCCTCCGCCCTGATCGTCGGCTGCGGCGGCCTCGGCGCGCCCGCCGCGCTGTACCTCGCCGCGGCGGGCGTCGGGTGCCTCGGGCTCGTGGATCGCGACGCGGTCGAGATCTCAAACCTCCATCGCCAGATCATCCACTCCGAGGACCGCGCGGGCGTACACAAGGCCACGTCGGCCGCCGCCGCCGTGGCCGCCCTCAACTCGGGCGTGCGGGTCGAGCCATTTCTAAACGGCCTGCGGCCGGGCAACGCGGCGGAGATGGTGATGTCATATGACGTCATCATCGATGCCAGCGACAACGCGCCGACGAGATATCTGCTTAACGACGCCTGTGTGGCCGCGGGGCGGCCGCTTGTGTCGGCGGCGGCGGTGGGGACGGATGGGCAGCTGACCGTGTACTGCCACGGGGAGGACGGCCCCTGCTACAGGTGCGTCTTTTAAACGCGTCATCATGATTCCACGTCAGCAGGGGGGCGTGCAGCGCGGGGGCGTCCGCAGGGGGGGCCGCCAGCCCCGGCCGGCCGCGACACCACAGGTACCAGGCCGGGTTCCAGCCCCGCGGCCGAGGATGGGCGGAGGCGGCAGGGGCGAGGTGCTAAAGCTTCTGACAAAATTCAGAAAGGCGGGATTGCGCGGCCCTGCCGCAAACCATGTGCCCTGTGAGCCGCTCGCCCGTACGGCTCCCAGACCAAGCCGGCGCCCCCGCCCCACGCGCGCCCTGAGCCCATGCCCCCCCCAGGTGCCTGTTCCCCGAGCCGCCCGCCCCGGGCAACTGTGCGCGCTGCGCCGATGCCGGCGTGCTGGGCCCCGTGCCGGGGGTGATGGGCGTACTGCAGGCGCTAGAGGCGATCAAGCTGCTGACGGGGATTGGGAAGCCGCTCACAAGGCAGCTGCTGCTCTTCGACGCCCTGTCGGGCCGCTTCACCACCGTGAAGCTGCGCGCGCGGTCGCCAGGCTGCGCGGCCTGCGGCGGCGCGGCGGCCGGCAGCGCGGGGCAGCAAAACGGCGCGGCGGAGCCTGACGGCGCAGGCGCGGGGGACGGGGGCGAAGGCGGCGGCCGCGGCCGCGGCCGCATGCGGCCGGCGGACGTGGCTGCGTTTGACTACACAGCGTTCACGGGTCAGAGCCCCGATGACGGCCCGCCGCCGCCGCTGCGCGTGCTGCCGCCGGAGCAACGTCTGGCAGCGGCCGAGCTGAAGCTGCGGCTAGAGGCGCGCGGCGCCAACGCCAGTAGCAGCGGCGGCGGCGGCGGCGGCAGCGGCGATGGGGCGTGGGTGTTGGTGGACGTGCGGCCAAAGGAGCAATTTGATGTGATGTCACTGCCGGGGGCCGTCAACATGCCGTTTGTGACGCCAGAGAGCTTCATAGACCGCCACCTGCCCCAGCTGCTGCGCCTGGCGCACGGCGGCGGCGCCGCCGCGCCGCACCAGGGCGGCGGCGCTGCTGCGTCGGCGGCCGCGCCGGCGGCGGCGGCGGCGCCGCCGCGTCCGGTGTACGTGATGTGTCGCCGGGGCAACCACTCTCAGCTGGCGGTGCGGGCGCTGCGGGAGGCCGGGCTGGCTGAGTGCTACGATCTGGTGGGGGGCATCCAGGCGTGGGCCCAGGAAGTGGACCCGGCGCTGCCCATTTTGTAGCGGGCCTGGCGCCCGCGCCCCCACGCGCCGGTGCCTGCGCCGTCAGGGGCGGATGCCGGTCGTACTGCTGCTGCCGAGCCGGGCGTTCGCCCTGTGCGTGCCGCACAACTCGTTGGTTGGTGCACTTGCTGTGAAAAGGTGGTTCCCCTGTTGTTCTGGGATCTATTCTGCTTTCTGTGTGTGCATCTGCAGGAGGCCAGGTGGCTCGGTGGGGGTGCGCGCCGGCGCGGCGCCGTGGCGGTTTCGTGATGGGTGCATGCCTGACTGCCTGCAGGCTCTCGTGGTGCTGCTGCTCTTGTTGGGGGGGCCTTGGTCCTGTAGCGGCTGCTTCGTTGACCGGTCAATGCCACTGCCCCGTGATAGACACGGTGCTTGTCAATGTGAATATCACCGTGCACACTGTCAGGGCTAGGGTTGACCCCGGGGCTAGGTGTTTTGTCAACAGCGGGAAGCCAGGGGGCCAGATGCTCCGGAGGTGGATGCGTGGCCAGCGAGCGGATGGCAACAGCCTCGCTCAGTCGAATTCCCGATGAGCCATTTCCACGAGAGGAAAAACTTGGATTACACACAACGTAATATAGCAGGAGCAGGCGTTGAGCGTGCGTGCATGGATCCCTGATGAGCTGTTGCAGGCGGGGGCCTGCAGCGGGGCCTGGGCCCAAACATGCACTTCATGCCTGTTCAAACGCGTGACCCGTAAAGGAGCCGGCCGGCAGGCGGGAGGTCGCCTCTGGCCGCGGAGAGACAAAGGAAGTCCACCGCCCACGCCGCGCGAGGGCGTGCGTCGGAGCGTGGCGGCCGCGCTGCGCGTGTGCTATTTGTCACAGTGGCGCGCAGGGGGTGCATAGGCTAGGCAGCCGGGAGGGCGCCCCGCTCTTATATGTGGTGGCATGAAATGCGATGCAAGTTGCTTGCTGCCCTCTCATCCAGGCGCAGGGCCTGGGTGCTACTCGTACTGCGCCGTTTTTCGCGGGACAAGGGCCGACCCTGCACGGGCAAGCCGCCCCGTGCAAGCTTAAGTGGGTCGCCCCTCCAACGCAGTCGTGTCGACGCGCAGACCGCAGTTATGCGCCGGGACCTGTGCGCACACACGCTCGGGTGTGAGGTGCGGCTGCAAGGATGGGTGCGCGCTTGCGGTTGGGTGGCGTGGCAAAGGGCGACACAGGAAAAAGGGACGCCAGGGGCGTTGGGTGTGCGCATGCGCACGTGCGCGCACACGGTTGCGCTGTCGCCACCACTGGAATGCTGCTTGGCTCCGACGCTGCTGTGTGTGCTGGCGGGTGCAGCAGGGCCCGTGAGGCCGAGAGTCAAAGTGTCCAAATCACCCCGCCAGAAGGGCATATGGGAGGGGTGGGGCGTGCACGCGGGCGCAGCAAAGCCGAGCAGCCGGGGCCCACGCCTCAACGAATGGATTGCGCGCAGGGCAGCACGCGGCGGCAGGAGCCGCTGCATCGTCGCATGCGCGACACGCTGTGCGATGCGAGCCGCGCTTGCCGCGCAAACGCACAAGTTTGGGCGGCGGCAGCGGCGGCGCGGGCCCCTTTGGCGCCGCCAGCGGTTGTTTGGTTTGGGGCCACCACAGAGTGGCAGTGTGAGCAAGTTACGACAGCCGTGTGCGATTTTCTTTGGAACTTCCCATGATCACGCTCGTACATGTCGCATTAGGGATGCGTGCACGGAACATTTGCGCGCAAAGGGACAATCGATACAGCGCAGCACGGCGCAGCAGCCGGCGCAGCAAACAAGAGCAACCTCGCCCGGGGCAGAGCCGGGGCGCGTGTGTTGGAGCCGGGCGGCCCGGCAGTGATTGCAACGGGCCGTGCTGCGCAGCGTGGTGCCGTGACCCTTCACGCGAGAGGGCCCCCGCCCTGAAAGACAGTGGCTGCCGGCCACGCATGGCGCGTGCGCCCGCGCTGGCGGTCGCCAAATCTGGCTACGCAGCCGCGCCCTGTCAAGAGGGATGGCCAGGTTTCCCTCGCCCGCTGCCCCGCACGGCTCGAATGCCCGCGGCAGGCTTGCCGCGGCGGTGTCTCAGAAAGACACGCGGAGCGGGGCGACGCGAGGCGCATTGATGAATAATGGGGCTGAGAACAGCCGTCGGCGTGGCGTATTGACAGAAGCCGGGGCACGCTGCGGGCACGCTCTCGAGCCCACCGACTGCGAGGACGTTGCTAGGATTAGAGTGCCGCGGCACGCGAGGCGCTCGGAGTATCGCGCTGGTTCAGTGGCTGGGGCGGCCAGGTTAATATGTCGGCCACTGGGGAGTGCTGGAGAGGGAAGCCAAAAAGTCCTGCATGAGTCCAGCGGGCAGCAGCGCCTGCTGCTCCAGACTCGCATGCGATGGCTGCTGCTGCTGTTGCTGCTGCTGCTGCTGCTGCTGCTGCTGCTGCTGCTGCTGCTGCTGCTGCTGCTGCTGCTGCTGCTGCTGCTTCGCCGGCTGCTGCAGCAGCGCCTCACCACCAAAGCCGGTGTCTGCGCCGCCATCCTTTGGCAGTGCATCCCCGCGGCCGTCAGAACGCGCGAGTGGCGACGCATGCGCCCCAGCGCCACCCCAAAGGCCGCCGCCGCCGCTGCCGTCCAGCAGCGACGGCAGCGGGGCAGGCCCGGCGCCACTTGACCCGCTGTCCACACTCCCAAGGATGATTCGCCCCAGGCTTTGAGAGTCGTGGTGGGACGCCTGCTGCTGCGCGCCTAGGCCATACTGCGGGGGCCGGCTCGCTCCCCCTGCAGCTAGGCCGAGGCCGAAGAGGGTGCCTGAAGCTACGTGGGGCAGCTGCAGGGAAGTTGACGCCGTAGCTGAGGGGCCGGGGACGCCGCCGCTGGTGAAGGGGAAGGAGGTGCTGCTGAAGGCCTGGTGCTGGTGCTGGTGGTTTTGGGTGTGTTGGTGGCCGCCGTCGAGGTTGAGGCTTGGCACCTGCACAGTGGAGCACAGGTGTCGAGGCCGAGACAGTGAGTGAGGGGCTGGAGTCATGCTTCGGGCCAACTGAGGAGTGGCCCGGACATGGCTTTGGCGGAATCAGGGCACCCCCAAACGTGCATCAGATTCCGAGTGAATTCCCTCTTCAGACTGTGGCCTGAGGCAACCCACATCCAGCAATTATAAACAAAGCCCCGTCCCGCTGGGCGCGCGCCGCCCACCTGCGGGTGTTGCCCCCCAACCGCGCCTTGCAGCTGAGATAGCAGCCCCTGCAGCGCTGCCGACGCGCCATCCGGCGGCCCCGCGCCGCCCAGGGCCCCGCGGCCGTGTTGACTGTAGAAGTCCCCGAGGCCCCCGAAGTTACCGAGGCTCCCGGCCCTCGGCAGCCCCGCCCGCACGCCGGACGCCCCCGCGCCGCCCGTAGCGAGGCGCTGGAGTGCGGCTGCCGCGGCTGCGGCATGCTGGTACTGCAGCTGCTGCTGCTGCCACTGCGTGCTGGAGGTTGCAGCTGCTGCCGCTGCGGACAGCTCAGCGTAAGGGCTGCTTTGGAGGGTGCCGCGGCCGCTGGCGCCTCCGTAGTGACTCAGCACGCCCTCGGACATCGCCCGGGGCAGCACCAGCCGCGCCGATACCTCGGCCTGCGACGAGGCGCCCGCCGCGGCCGGCGGGCGCGGCGCCGGC